TCTACAAAAATCTTAAGGAAACACATCAATCATAAAGGATAGCATGAGCTATGGTGTTCATGAGAGTTTGTTGGTTGTTCATCTTCTGCTTGAGGTGGTGAAAGTGACTGCTACCAACATGATATTATTAACATTGATTGTGGACTCTTGTATGACAACCATAATTATTGTATTTTAAACCATGTATTTTCCTACCACTTGTGTATGACATTTCACCAAAGGCAAGCTGCATATTAAGAGGTGTAAGAAAGAAGTACAAGGATATAAAAAACCCTTAATTTGAGAGTCCAGTTCTAGACTAGAATCCCTTGTTTAATTTCTTAGGTCATGTTCGAGTTATCTATTATACCTTATATTAGCGGGTCATTGGGTCGGTTTTGGGTTAGTTATATAGAAGGCGGGTCAGGTTCGAGTTCAGGTTAAGCAGTTTTAGGTTAGGCTGGGTAAGCCCAAAACCTGACATTTGAACCTGATTTGATACCTCCAAGTAAAGGAAAATAGGGAGAAAAACAAGTAAAATACTCCATACCATTCAGTGCCTGAAATCTAGCTTGATAAATATAGAAACTTATAATGTAGAAAACATGGAAGAAATAAACATATCCTTGTAGGAAAAAATAAACATATTGATACAGGTTTTTAATATAACACAGGTTAAATAAATGCGATATGATTCCAATAAATAATCCCAAGATACCCGAATACTTTCTGCCTTCCAAAACCGCCTCTACCTTAGTAATCCATAGGCTGCCATGCGTTATTGGAGAACACCGGTTGCTGTCTATTCATTGTTATAGCTACCATTCCATCCAAGGTTGCCTAGAGCCTTCATCTTAACAATTTGCGGCCTTTCCAGTTTTTTATGGAAGAGAGAGGGAGGGAGGGAGATTGCAACATTTACACTTTCCCCCAAACTTGTTTGTCAACACCCCGCAAACCAAGCTTGTTAATTAATTTTTCATATAGGGGTCTATCTTGTACTTCTGTAAGTTATCACTCATTTGACCGGAGGAGAGATAAAAAATACATATAATTTCATCTTAAAATTTTTTTGTAAAGTATTGATTTATCTCCACATATTTGGTTCGAGCATGATGGACCAGATTGTGTTATGCATTAATAGCAACTTTATTATTACAATATACTAACATAGGAGTTTTGATCATTACCTGAAGTTTTAGGACTAACTTAAGCTCTATTGATTCACTAATCCCATTGGATGATGATTTAAGTCCTGCTTTTGTTCTATTCTTTGCCGTAATATTTTTTTGTTACTTGTCTAGGTTTGAAGAGTAGATCACACATAAACGGAGTATTCTAAGGTTGATCAAACTTTCGTCCTTTATGAACTCCGTCCAATCAATATTTTCGCAGGCTTCTATTTTTTTGTAATTTCCTTTCTTAAAGAGAAGCCTTTTTCTATGATTTTTTCAAGGTATTTGAGCATCCTTGTAACAATTTTCATATGTTCTTCATGCGGGGCATGCATGAACTTATCAAGATGCCAATAAGACTATGCTATGTTTGGTATAAGGTAAATATATGAGTTTTTCTACCGACCATTTATATCTTTCTTTATTAATATGATAATTTTAATAATATCACTTAATTTCATGTTAGGATATTGATCCACCACAGCTATTATCACAATTTATATAAGTCCTGGTAAAGACATCAAAAACTTGATCTACTCCATAAAAAAATTGATTGAGTTCTTAAAATTAGGTATTATTATTCACTGGGGTTTCTCACGCAAATATACGTATTGTTTCAATAATATAGGGTTCTATTGATTCCGGAATGTCGATCTCACAGGGAAGGGGAGATAGATAATTTCTAAGGCAAAGTTCTAGTCTGCTACTTTCAGGTCTTAGTTTGGAATATCGTTAATGGTGTTTTTTCTAATGACTAACCCTAAGTTACTTTTCTATACCTAAGTTAAAATTGGCTAGATCAATCAGTTAGGTAAAATTCAAGATTGGTAAGAGTATTTTTCTCTTGTGAAATACTAGGTAGGTTGTAGGTATTACTACTAGGAATTATGATGTTATAATGACAAAATAAACATAAGACTCATTTACCTTCTTTTGAGTGCATAAATAAGTATCGTTCAAATTTTTGCTATTGTTTTCGCTGTCACTCTTGATTATCGGTTCGAACATTGTCCCTTGTGGGTAAGGATCCTTTGGTATTGATTTCAAAAAAGTTTGAAGCTGTAGGTTGCACAACAGAAGCATCCGACAACACATCAATTGCAGTAACAAAAACAATATTGTCAGTAGGAGGGTCCCCAGGGGCAATTAAATCAAACACCAACTCCTGTCTTATGGTAAATCCCTCCACAGGTGGAGTAGATGTGTCCAGAGCAGTGGGGTTAGACACATCCTTATTCATTTGAGCTTTAGGTTTCAAGTTAGGGTGGAGCCTGTGACATTTATCAAGGGGATGCCCAAACATCTTACAATGGGTACAATAAAAGGGTATATGTTCCATGACAATTTGTTGCCAATATCCATTATGTGTTGTGTCAGCCAAAATTTTGTAATATCATGTAAAGTAATATCCCTCTCCACAAGTATTCTGACAACAGAAGGTCTGGTTATACTGAAGGTGGGTATATCTAGCTTCATATGATCCCCAATTATGGCTCCAATAGAATAGAGAACCTGATGATTAAATAAATACAACTTGAGACTAGATAAACTAAACTATACCGGTACAGTGGGAGATTCATGGTTTAGGACTATTTGAGCAACTTTATTGACTTTCCTGCAATGTTAATATATTTTTTAGAGAAAATCCGAGCGTAGTCTTCAGCCGTGGTTAACTGAATCAATACATGCCTCCCATCAAGAAGTCTCACTTTCTACTTTTCTACTAGTATGAGATCTTAAAAATTCTTTCTGATAACTTCCATAAGGGGGTGCCCCTACTGAAATTTTTCGATAAGAACGAACTTGCATTTCTCAGTAAATGTTGAGATTTCTAAATCAGAGAAAAAGAGAGCTGTTTTCCCACATTTTCTACTCACCTTCTTAACAAAAGGGCAGTCACCTATACCATCACGACATTCCTTATAACACGACGGGAAGACAACAACCGACTCCTCCAGATGGTTACCGCGCACATGGGCGAAAGAGACTTTCTCGGGTTCTGCCGAAAGAGGAGGAATTGTACCTATCGAAGCAGACAATTGTGAACGAAACCAGACGCGAAGGGTGAAGCAGAGATGCCCGCCCGCAGAAACGTCGGGTCGAAGCCGACTCACGACGCTGCAGAAGACGAGCCTCAATCGCGAACCCTTCAGCCTGCAGACGACGAAGCAAGAGCCTGATGCACGCCAACAAAAAACGTCGGGTCGAAACCGAAGGCGCACGACACCGTAGAAGACGAGCAGCAATCTCGAGCCCCTCAGCCTGCAGACGAGGAAACATGAGCCAAGTCGGGATGACGCACGAAATATACGAAAACAACGAAAGAGCGAGCACGAGCAGTGGAGCAGAAACCAGGGTTCGCCTTAATGGCAAAACCATAGCAGAGCGTTATCGAATATATATATGTGTGAGAGAGTGAGAGAGAGATTTACAAGCCATGAGTGCTCTTCTTGGTAAAAGTGTTACTTCATTCTGCACATTGAAGCAATAGACCCTTGCACTTTTGCTCTTCGCATTCTGCTTATAGCTTTGACAGCATGTTAAGCCAGTTGTTGCAGTTGAGATATTTGGGGTAGGAATCTAGTGTGTCATAGACAATTTTACAAAATTTTCAGTTAGAACTTAAGTTAAAATGATAGCTAAACTGATAAACAAATACATAGCCTAGAATAGTTGAACTATAGTTTTTAGGCAAACTAATGGAAGTGTTAATGTATATTTAATTTGATTTGAAGAATTGAATTCTAGGTGTAAACAAGATCAATAACATATATGTTTTTGAATGATCTTTACTATAAAATTTAAGATTATACTATGACTCTCTAAACCAATAGCTAATGGAAGTGTTAATACTAAATGTAAAGCTCATTGTAAAGCCTTAGAAGTATAAGGATAACTATTTCTTTCTTTTAGAAGTAATCAGTTTGCCACCACTAGTAAAAGTCCACTTTGGTATATTGAGCAAGTCATTGTTCGCCTTCCTGCTTAACAGACATCAATTTTCCTTGAATAGTGATACTAAGAATGATCAATCCACTGGTACTCAAACTGCTGTGGTTGTTTGTCATAGGTGTCAAGGTTCATAATATTATGACCCCATGTGCGAGAAAATAATCAATTTCCAATTCCTAATCGTGAAAATATTGAGTAATGTGAGTTTAATGAGTTCTTTTCTATGATGATTTGAACACATGCACCGAACAATAAATAATTTTCTTGCTTGGCACGTCATAGTTTCTTATGGACATATCTAAATATGTAATAAATACTGAATCTGTAAGGAAAAATGAATCTAGAAACTCAAAACAACTCATAAGATTTGATTCTACTTCTTTTGTTGTTGCATCTCCTTCATTATTTAATTAACTCTTATTGTTAATGCATTTTCTAGGCATGCATTTTGTGATCTGTTACATCGTGTGATGCGCATTTGCATGAATTTAATTTGTTTTGCATTGAGTTTTATTTTGATGAGTACACATTGGGTTGAATTTGTAAGCATTCGCTGATCTCCTGCTGGTTATATTTTGGCTGGGCTCTTTGATACGATTTTTAGCTGTTTGATTTTTGTCTTCTATACTTTTGCATTAATCTATTTTTGAGATATTGATACTCATTTGGAACTTCTATGAGAGCTTATTATGAATTTTATCATATGTGATGGAATCATTCTTTAGGGTTTTGCCCTGATTTGAGATTCTTATCATGTGTTTTTGTTGATTTCATTTTATCAATGATTAATGGACAGGCCAGTTGAAGTGACTTCTTTTTGTTCAGATCTAATTATGCTGAGTTTTGTAGATATTTATATCTTTATCTTACTTGATTTTAATGTTTTTTTAACAGATGCATTTTGTTATCATTGCATTGTTAACTGGTCCAGATTCATTAAAGAAAAATATTGTCAATCAGCAACCTCCATAAAATGTCCTCTTTGCAAGGTTTGTTGCTGGTTTTTTTTACATCCTATGAGGATCAACTTTGTCTTCTGTACAAGCAGTTTAGTATGATTATTTTTTATTTACTAACTCTCCATTCTAATCCTTGTACTTTTAATTACCCTATGGTTTCTAATTAGTAATACATTGGTAATACCGAGAGACAAATGAGGAGACCTTGTCCGTGTACAGAAGTCCTTCAGATGGGAACTTGTCTGTGTATTTTCTTAATTTTTTACGTTCACCTGATATTTTTGGATCTATAATCTCCATATTACGTAGGCCTTTTTTTACAAACTTTTATGGTGATTTTATCATATTATATTTCATATTCTTCTATTCTTTCAGTCTCTATGTTTCCTTTGGCATGGATAAATAATCATTTATTTTTTTGATGGCCCTAATTCATGTTCCTCTTTGATCGTTAATTGCCCCGTTGCACTTCTTCTGCCTGCCTATTTTTTCCAGGTGGCTCCAAAACCATTTCCAGTTTTAATTGCTGCCTTAGCTGTGGTGTTATATATAGTGAATCTCAGAAAATTTTCATGATGAACAATATTGAAGGGAAGTTGTAGACTAGTCCCAGAGTCTATTTTACTTATTCATTCATTTTTTTTTTCAGTCTATTTTACTTGATTCATACTACTAATACTAGCAATCAATATGGGAGACTATGGAAGTTCAGTTAGAATTTTGGTTGCATGATTAAATATTAAAAGGAACAAGTGCCCTTGACATGGTACTTAACCTATCACAGACCTCACTATTTTTGTTTTTGAAATTCATTAGAACTCTTAGATTCTGGGATGATAGAGCTGTTCATTACTTTCTGCCTTCCTTAGGGTTGAACTTCTTTTCCTTTTATAAATGCTGGCAAGTGAAGCACTACATTGCTGTTTAAATCTTACACAATGGTCTTATTAGAATCTCTTACCTTCATGTCTGACTTCCATTGTGCTCTAGATTTTAGGTAGTTTGGGTTGTACTTTTTGATCCCTGGTTCCTGGGCTGCCCATTGTTCTTGAGTTTTAATTGAATGTTATCAAGATTCATATAGTCTTCTCTCAGTTTTGGCAACGAACATTACTAATATGTTCTTGATGGCTTGAGTACTCCTGAGACTAATTAATTTTATTTTTAAGAATTTCAACGGATATGTTGAAGAATTTTATAAACTAATTAATTTTATTTAGATTATCTCGGCTTCCGGCTCTCTTTTTTGTTGCTGAAATCTCTTGCTCGTTGAAAGCATTTCTTCAATTGAAAGGATGCTAGCATTTAACTGTAGCCATTGGATCCGTATTTCTTGATTATTGTTGAGCCGGCTTTTAGCTAACTAAGTTGGGGACAAACATGAAATTACAGAATTCTGCTGAATTCCAAATCAGTTTGAAATTTATCCTGCAACATATCCGTTGTTGAAGTGTTACTGCTGATTGACTTGATTTTGAAAGTTTGGAAGAGTGAGCAATTACCATTTTTTGCTTGCTTGGTATTAAATTATTGAAAAGAGGTTATACTTTCATTTTACCATGTGGTTGCAAGAAAGATTTTTTTAAGTAGTAGTCTAAATTAATGTACGTTTATTGGCACTAAGCCAAATTCTCCAACACGTGTCAATTTCTGCCTACAGCTTTTCCAGTTTAGTCTTTAGCATTTTTAAAGTGGCTTAACTTTCTAAAGTTAATTATTCAATTTCTTTATTTTATTTTTCGGACTGTTTTCTTTAAGAAAAAAATGGTTGATTAAGAAACAATTCGTTTCCTACTTCCTTTGTATCACAAACTATTCCAAAAACTTGGATTACCAAGGCAGTTAGAGACGAGCGTACTTTTTTTTAAAAATATGATTCATAAATTTTTCAAAATAGAAATCTCTAAATCTCAAAAAAGCCAGCTAATATATGAAATTTATTCATTATTTTTTAATGAAAATACACTATTTTTCACTTTTTTAAAGAACTATTGATATAGCTTTCTGGATCAACTTTCTTCTTTCATTCATTTAATTTAATAGAGATTTTCTTGAAACTATTTATCAACTGTTGTGTGAGTTGAATCAAAAAATATAAATCAATATGCATGTAAAGCTTTTGAACTTCAATTATAAGAATTTTTTAATCTTAACCGCAAATGAAAGTATTTGTAACTTTCTTATTGACATAATAAAATAGCTATCATTAGCTTACTTTTTTTATCACTTCAATATTCTAATTTGCTATATAATAGATCCCTCTTCAGAGCATCTTCTAACTGTACCTTAATGTACGATCATTGCAATAACCTTTTCCATATCTAAATGGTGAAGTTAAATAGTTATTTTTTGCACATGTATATATATTTCCAGTTGGTATTATAAAGGGTCTGACTCCATCCTTTAGCATGTTCATGCAATCATTCCTATATAACATATTTTTTTGCATTTCTATAATCGGGCATTTTTTTAAATATTATCATGTCTTTTGCATATTATTCATAAAATTAACTTGTGATATTGAAATGTGGAGAGTATAGTAACATTTATGTCAATATGTGAATTTTTGTCTAAGAGTCGAGAAAATCATTTTAAACCGAGTCTAATTGAAATTTTGTATCATTGAAAATCTTACATATTGCATATCAGATGCTTCAATGATCAATGAATTAAATTTAGAAAAAACAAAAATCATTAATATAAAATTGAAAGATATTTGCCCACCTCACCTGGAAATTATATTGTCACTTATTTTTTGAATGTTCTTTCTTTTGATATTGTACCTCTATCAATCGATTTTGTATTCCAAACTTCTATTATAATCTCTTACATCTCATATCTGAATCATCATATGTAATTCTATTTTCTAAGCATTTTAATCGTTCTTATTCATTGTATATTATCAAATTTGTTCTATTTAAATAGCTATTATCATTTTTAATGTTTATTTTTATTCAAGTATAAAAATCATAGTCAGTTTTTGAAATCTCAAATTTTATTGTTTTTACATATTGTAAAAATTAAATTTTATGTTTTTCAATTAAATTAATTCAAACATTTAACATTACCCTTTAATCTTTACACATGATGTCTTTATTAATTAAATAAAATAGAAAGCTTTAAATGAATTAAAAAAAAAATTGTAATGTCTACTTTTAGGTCTTTTTGTCAACCATATAACAATTACCTTTTTAGCATAGTTTTTTCCTCTTTTACACACACACACTTTTACATATATAATATTTAGATTATACCATAGTTAAATTTATTACTTAATTCATCATCATAAATAATATAATTTACTATTTCTATTAATTTTAATTTTTTTAAATTAAATCATGTTTATGGAATTATTATTTCATAACGCAAATAAACAAGCTTTTAAATTAAAAATGAGAAGTATTTTTTTCAATATCTTCATTAATTTCTATAGCATTAATATGATACCAAAAGTTTTCAATTTATAAAGCAGTACTCACACTGTTGAATTTAATATTTAAACATTTACTTGATTTTTTTCCGAATTTAACAATTTACAAAATTTCAATTTTTTTTCAATAAACTTCAGTATTCTTTTTCTTCATTCTCTTTGCAATGATGTCAAACTTTACTCACAATTCTTTTACTTTTCTGCCAGTCAAAATTGTTTGTAAAACAAAACAAAGCTAGACCTAGTTTTTTTGTAATTTGAAGAAATAACAATAGCATTCTTAAACTTCAGCATAAGAAGAAAACCTTAGCTGAAATCAAATTTAGGGTTTTAAATTTCAAAATAAAACTTGTCAAACCCCTTCATTTGAAGAAGGGGAAGGAAGGAAATACTTTAATTTTTTGGTGTAAAAAATTGAAACCCAAGCTGAGCAAGGCTCGATCTCATGTGATTGCATCTATTGCTAGCTGCCTCTGGCAGCTCATGCTTGGTTTGGCACGTAGAAGCTCCTTCCCCCTCAATTGGTCAACCCACTTCATCTCTGAGCCGCTCGGCCTCCCTTGCTGCTTAATCACTCGCTCCCTCTCTGGCTGGCCTCCTTTATTTAGCTTTTTTTGGTGGCTGTTCTATGCTACTTATCATTTCCATTTGTTTTAAATTTAGCATTTGTATAAACAAGTGTCATATCTCTTCCCCACTTTTTTAAAGTTAAATAAAATTAATGTAAATTTTGACATATATTTTAAAAAATTAAACATAATCATTAATATTGTTAAATTTGATTGTTATATTATTTATCTAAATAATTTTGAATATTTAAATTTTCTGAATTACACACACACACATGTATATTATTACACCTTATCAATGCAACATTCATTTCTGCGAGTGTACCTTTCGTCTTTACTATTTTTATCTTTATGCAGGTTGAAAATTTTTCCATTGTTTATAGTTTTTATGGAGAATCTTTTAGCCGATTTTATTTGAACGGGGCTAGTCAGGATAGGTTTGTGGCTGATTTTTGTTCTTGTGTTTCTGCTTATTTTCTTTTCATTGAGTTCCCCTGTCAATTGCTTTGTTAGCATCCATCTAAATGAATTGGATGTTTGGTATTGTGAAGCTTTTTTACAAGCGGACATGTGTTCAGATTACAGTGCTACAACAGTGAGCCAGGTAATTGCTAATATTCTATCAGCATCTATCTGTTTTACTTTTCTTTTTTATGCCGTATTACATTATTGCATTTAAAGGTAATATATTCAACGTTCAACAATATTGGAAGCACCAGAGATATCGACGGCAGAACATTTGGCTTTCAAGTTGGTTGAGAAGGGAGATCCAAACTCTTACTAAGGTATAAAAAAAAAAGAAAAAAACTTTGTTTTTAGTCATGAGTGATTCTGTTTAGGTTGTTTAACTATGATTTAGCATTTCGAATTGCTGAATTGGTTAACTTGAGTTTGAAGGTCAAAGTAATGAACTTTTAGCGTTTCTAATTGTAGGTTCTCTGCGTCAATGTATCTTAGTTATGTTTTAGCCATGTGTTGTTGTTGCTTTGGAATATACATTTAATGCTCTTGATTAAAATTTCGGAATTCTTGTTTCAATTATTTTTTCCTCTTTTGATTGCTCATGTTCTCCTGTGTTGAATAAGCTCTATATGCCCTTGTCTCTAATAACTGATTTATTATAGGATCAGTAATCTGAAATTCAGAATGTTCTTTTTTGATTATATCTCTATGACATTGTTTGCTGGAGGAGAGCTGATTTCTGGAAACATGTTGCTCAGAGATGAGGGGATCACGAGATCTATAATGTCATATTTTTTCTGTTCTTAAATTCTATGGTTGAAGGATCCTGCTTTATTTTTTTCTTATATTCCCCATATCTTCCTTGTCGATTTTGTTCTCATTGTTTCTCCTTCCAATGGTCATTTTTTTTATCATATCTTAACATGTTTGCAAGGCCAGCACCCTTAAAAATTATTGAGGTCAAATCATTTTCTTTGTGAATTTCTAATTAGCTTCTTGAAAATAAGTCTATTAATTGTAAATGCCTCATATGAGGCAACTTTTGTACAGGAAGAAGATGTGGACATAATCTTCCATCATGTTCTTGGTGTGATAGAAGCCTTTTTTAGAAGGTAATTATTTTTTTTTATAGAAAAATTAGGGCCATGGAAAGTTTCCTTACAATGTCAAGGTATAATACAACATATTGCAACTTGATTCATCTTTGACCATTATTTCGTTTTGGACTTAACGAGATGGAGATTTAAAAATTTCATACTATGTTTTTCACGGATTAGTTGGATATAAATAAAATCTTAATTTATAGTTTTGCTAAGCCTCCTGTGGTTAACCAATTGTTAATGCATGGATGCTGCTGTAAACATTTTACATTTGCACATCAAACTGGTAGTTTAGAGCTTCAACAGTTTTCTTCTCGAGTTTGCTGGCACTGAAAATATATGGCATATTTTTTTTTCAGAATCTATATTAACATGACATTGGTGTTAGAGAACATCTTTTAAATTAAACTGTAGGTTAACGGTATCATAATATGGTTAAACTATTTGGCTAGCCTGTAATGGAGCTGAATGATCTCATTGTTCAACTTGATTTGAGGTCAAGATTCCACTGGTGCTTGAATTAGCCTATCTAGTTTTACTATTCTGGGTATTCGATTTGTTAATCTTAAATCATTGAGTCAATCACTTCATAATGTCTTTTATGCAAATGATTTATGTTTCATGTCTTATGTCAATTTATTGACATTTAATGTATTTTATTGTCTAAATTTTTATGCATGGACAATTTAATGTTTTGGCTTAGATGATGCTTGGCATATTTTGTGATCCCTGAATGGTGAATTTGTTGCCCTAATATGAAAGTTGTAAGAAGAGCTGAATATGAGTGATACTGGAGTTAACCCAAACCATCATAGAAACGAAAATATTATTTTTGAAATTCAAATAGGTCACAACGACGACTCTTCAAAACGGGAAGTAAACGCTAACAAACATAAGACAGTTCCCTAGGGCGAGGGCAAAGGTAATGAACTCCGATTGTCAGCAGATGTGGGGGTGGTCGAAAGGCTATGGCTATACTCGGAGGCTATTGGAAGAAGGACAACAACAAGGAAGGGTGCTGGGAGCAGGTGCGGTAGCAGGAGGTCCGTTGGGGAAGTGGAGCAGCAACAGAGAGGCTGCAGGGAGGATTTGCGACAACTGGGTGGCTGCAAGGAAGGGGTGGCACAACAGGGTGGCTACAAGGAAGAGGAACAGTGGCAGGGAGGCTGGATACGACGAGGAATCGATGGGGTAAACACCACCTCAAAGCAGGATATAACTGTCCAAAGGAGCATGAGGGAGGGTGGTCCAGCCCCTTGCTGGGCCGAGGCTCTCTCTTCTTAATTGCTAATCGGTTCAGTCGGGCCCTAAGCCCCGCGCCAATCTTTTGGGATTGGGGGAGCTTCAACAGGGAGGGTGGTCCAGCCCCTTGCTGGGCCGAGGCTTTCTCTTCTTAATTGCTAATCGGTTCAGCCGGGGCCTAAGCCCCGCGCCAGTCTTTTGGATTAAGGGAGCTTCAATTTCATCTGTCAAAGCTTTTGAATCTTCATAATAGTGCGCCTGGTCCGCGAAATTGAATTTGGTTGAAACATTGTAGTCCCATGGGCCCATGGCAGTCGATCTTATAGACATTGTCATTCAGTTTTTGTAGTATTCTGAAAGGTTTGCCTGCTTTGAGCTTGAGTTTCCCGACTTCTCCCACTAGAAGTCTCTCTTTCTTTAGCCAAATCCACACGAGGTCTCCTTGAAAAGTCACCTTCTTCTTGGACTTAATTCGCTTGTGCCTGATATTTGTGGTTCTTCTAAGTAATCTCCTTTCCAACCTTGTGGAGTTTCTAAATCTCGTGAAGCCGTTCTTCAGCAGCCTCAATAATCTCTGATGTCGTTAGGAGAGGTGCCAACTCAAGTTACGTGAGCGGGTTGCGCCCGTATACAATTTCAAACATAGTGTGTTCAGTCCTATAGTCTGACTCATAGATTTGTTGTATGCAAACTCAGCTTGAGCTAGAATTAGATCCCACTGCTTAGTGCTCTTTACCACGAAAATGTGACATTTTTGCGGAGTAGCGTTGGCCGACACTCGAGAAACGGTCCATCTTCAAACAATGCCTCACATATTATCCGCTTTCCGTCCAAAGCCGGGACGCCCCTCCAAATGATGTCTAAGTCTATTTCTATCCGTGCTAGCCGGAGTGAAAATTTTTTATATGCACTGCTTCAAAATCTTTGGTTTGGGGGGAGACAACCTGGAACCACGCTCTGTAGTGTTTGGTCTGAAGATACAAAACTCTGACAGACTTTCATAACAGCCAACTAACTTTCAGGTTTCTGGTTTCAATTTCAAGGGGATCTTAACATCTTCAATTTTTTTTTTTCCAGTCACCATAGAATACTTGATGTTAGAAACGTTTTGACAATTGAACCCCAGATTATTTTCCTTGGATTCTCCCAAATTTTCTCCTCACTTCCTGTTTCGTGTTTATAAATGGCAACCTTACTCACACGTTCTAGTTGTGCTTGTTTATCTAACAAATGGAGTAATTCTCAGTTTTAATATGAAGTTCAAATATGAGACTTAAAAACCTCTTTGATGACTATCCAATTTTCTATTTCTGTTACTAATATTTCTTCCAAATGTCTCAGTACATTCAGTTGACTTTACTTCCTTTCATCCTTCTTCCCCTCTTCCAGGTGCATCAGAGAGATTCGATTGAACTAGTTTTTCTTATTCACAACTCTTGACTTATGTTCCAAACCATCATCTTCTGAAGTCAAAGCTTGAGAATCCTTTAGGATTAGGAACATGAACAAGACTTGATACTCTCACAAGCCTATCCTTTTGAACAGTTTGTTTATCCATAATTTATGAGTTTACCAAACTTTGTGGTGATAACTTAAAGAGGATCAAAATTCAAATAACAGAAGGATAATCCTTGTAGGACTATCCAAACATCAAAGTCTCTTTTACTTCTAGATGCTCCAATGCTTTCCTCCCTTTTTTGACCATCTATGTAACTCTTTGAAAGTTCATGCATCCTCTACCTCAAAAGGAATCAATAATTTCAGTGCTTTGCATCTGACAAAGATTCCGATTTAATGAAAAAGATTAAAGGACCATTTTTTTTCTTTCTAATGTTATTTTAGAATTTCAACCATTTCACTTCTTCCAATTCTTAGATCTGAGAAATTAAAAAGGTTCTGCAGTAAATTTTTATATTCTTTCACAAATTTTAGAAATAAATTCAATATTACCTTTTTTGCCACTCGATGACAAGGGCTAATAACTATCTCATCCATAACAAAAGACACCATTTCTACTATCCTTAGCTACATGACCAAGCTCAAAACATCTCCATGCATCATGTCTCAGGCCTCCTTCCCCAGTGAACTATTTGGAAAAACCATTCTATCTTTTTTTTATGATTCTAGTGTTACTGATCATAGTATCTTAAAGTGTTAAAATAGCCCCTGACTATTTACATGAGGTCATTTTAATTCCAGAGTCTATAAATTTAGTCTCACACTCTTTTAATATGAACTAAAATAGTCTACACACTAACTATTTTTGGCCTCCGTTCAAAGATTATTGAAACTAAATTGACACTTTTGTAGACTCGAGTTTTGGGACCATTTTAACAGTTCTTTATTATATTATCTTGCTTGATAATTGCAATTTGAAGCTGCATAATGCCTGAATTTCAGTTCTATGTTGATATTATTGGATTTGCTTTGAGTGAATATACTTGTTTTAATTGTTTTGAGTTTGATAGGTCAACTTGAACATTGTGCCATGGGCATTTTCAGTCCTTTCTTATGGAATAAAAGTGGCTTTGGTTTACAGAACAATTTGTTACACTTATTTATATATGTTGAAACGCTAACTACTGAAGAAGCGATTGATTTGCTTATTGAAAACAATATACACTTTTGTTGATTACAAAGGAATCCTTTGTTATTTCACTCTCCCCCACAGGTCAGATTAGATTCAGCCGTCGGTTTTTCAGTGCTGTCAAAATATGCACATAAAGCGATGCAGCAAACAAAGCACATTGCGTTTGTGATACATCATCTTCTCGTATGTTTCACGTGCAGTAAAAAAAATTTTCGCCATTCCTTAACATGTTCAGATTATTTGTTTATTTGGAAATTTAGTTTGATAGGTCAACTTGAACATTGTGCCATGGGCATTTTCAGTCCTTATGGAATAAAAGTGGCTTTGTGTTACAGAACAATTTGTTACTCTTATTTATGATTCTTATGTATTTACATATCTCACCCCTAAACATTGATATTTACATTTATAGCACTTTGGTGTTATAATTCTATGCATGAAAACAGGCATTTCACTTAAAAAGTTAGTTATAGTGATATTTTTGATGTGAAGTTAAAGATTTGAATGGTATGCATGTACATATTGAAGTTTAGGTGTTAGATATGTAAATACGTAAGAATTGTGTGGCATGATGCAATTGCCGTTGTTTGTTTGGTTTAATGTAATAGATTCTTTAAGCAGATGACTAAGAACTTGGTTTCGTATCCTATTTGTAAACTTAATAATCCATTACCTTGTTATTCATGTTGTCCTTTTTTGTCTGCGAAGATAGAAAGATTAGAGCTCACATCTTTAGTGCTTTTCAACAGGTTTATTATCTTCTCTCTCGGCTCTAGTCGCTCTTTCATAATATTTTTGTCTTGGTTGCTACTCTTTCCGTAAGTTTGTATCTTTTACATTTAACCATCTTAAATTTAACCACAGTCAACAATATTGAGACTTGGGCAGTGTGGATTTGCAACATCTGCGACTATGAGGCAATTGTGCTTTGGGACATTTCAATACATACCACACAATTCTTATTTATTTACATATCTAACACCTAAACATTCATATTTACATACATCTCACTCAAATCTTTAATGTCACATCAAAAATACCACCTTCAGTCTTTTTAAAAGTTAATAGTTACATCACTGCCTTTCTAAGAGTTAAATACACTTTTTCAAGCACATATTTATGAACCAAGGTGTTATAAATGTAAATATCAAACTTTGGGGGTTAGATATGTAAACACATAAGACTTGTGTGATATTTAACTAAAATTCCCCCTTCTTTTGACTATAAATTATTGATTCACATCATCCATGTGCTTGGGCTTTTGTGGTGCGTAGTAAAATGAAGTTTTCTACATCAAATGGTATTAGTTTACCGACGGCCGGTATTCGATGCACCCCCCATCCCATCAGCTCTACTGTTGTCTTCTTCTCTAACAAGACCCTTTCTGGAGCCAGCACCTACCAACTCGTCTATAATGGGGCGGCCAAGGTGAACGAATGACAGGGCCATCAAGAGAATAAGATAATTATCTCTCTATTTTGATCCACAATTGTGGGTTTAGACATAATCCTATATTCAAACATGGTTCACAAATCCTGCCAGCTCTTCTTAACATTTTCGGTGCTGAAATCTTCAGCTAGTTTGTTATTTCACTCTCCCCCACAGGTCAGATTAGATTTAGCCATCTGAATTCCAACCATACTTATTATGTTCTTTATCACCATTTGTAAGATTAGGTTCTATAAATCTCATCAAATTATCAAATCTGCAATAATTTGATTTAATTGTGTTTGTAGTAATGAAGGACATGATATGAAGCTTAGCCCTGAGAAGAGGCAGGAGAAGTTTAGAGCAATGCTTGTTGATGCAGCCATGCCATTTCTGGGTGAAAGAACAGAACGCTTTATCAGCGAACTGGAGCTTTTTTTGGCTTCAGGTCTGAATATTGAAGCATATGATAGAGTCTACATGCAAAAAATTAGAGAATTGTGCAACTCCATGGAAGCAAGCAGCGAGACCAACTCGTAACTGATTAAGATAATTAGTGTTTTTTTTTTAAGGAACTGGTTGAAATTGGTTCATTGGAATATTCATCATATTGTAAAGTATGTATTTCAAGTTATTCCATTTGCCATTTCTAATATGTTTATAAAGTTATTGATGTTTGATGCGCATTTAAACTTTCAAACTATGGATGAATTTTGGCAAACGGGTTTGTATTCTCATAATATGTATTTGGTTTAGAATGATTCATGCATGTAATTTCTATTTTAAGAGCACTTGATTAGACTCATAACTACTCAGATTTTATCCAATTATGTCATGCCTCACTTTATAAAAGCATGGTTAGAGGGATAACACCACTATTTTAAAAAGCAAACATAATGCCATTAAATTAACAAATGCTCAAATTCAAATCAAATGTTATAAAGTTATGAGATCATAAAAATCAACATCAATGAGATCAATATTCAATAAAGGAATATTCTTAAGTTCGAGCACTTCATTAAGAGTGCTCTTTATTTTAATCATAAAAGGTATCTCATAATCAAACTCAGGTAAAGTAAACTCATGTTATAACTCACAATTGCCCAAAGTATTATCAGTGAGGGATGCCATCATAAACACTTCATGTGGTCATCATAAAATAACTCACTAGATGTTTGACTTTTAGACTCATGTTGTGCACGTTAAGTGAAGGACATATTCATTAATTCATGAAACCTTATTTTAATATTTTGTTGCTTAATTTGTGAAGCTTGTTAAATTTCATTATGTTCAGTGCAATCAATGGGATATGATAAAATAAATAGTAATGTATGTTTTGAGATTTATGGAAAATTTTGGTTGAACTTGAATAGAAGTAAAAGAAAATTTGCGGCATTTATTTGCATATCATGCAATTTTCATGTATTTACGTTTAAACATTCATTGAATGCATCACTCAAATTTCTAACATCAAATAAAAAATATCATATATTATCCTTTTGAAAATGAATTTTTTTTTTTTTTTTTGCTTAGGTTTATGATTGTGGGCTTCGAAAATTTGCGTCTTGGGCTGTCATTGCTGAGGGAGTTTTTTTTGTGTTAGTCATTCTGGGTCAAATTTTTAGAAGTCAGATTGGATTGTTAATAAAACACTACCCAGAGATTTCGTCGTTATTTTGTGAGGATTTTTTTATCGTTTTCCCACATGTGCAAACTGTTATGTTTAATTACCTCTTCTGATAACAAGAGAGCACTTTCGATTAAGTCTAGTCATTAAGCATTGAATATTCAGTGTATAGGAGAAGCATGCTTAGGGTTTTTTATTATAAATTTTATCATCTTAAGCTTAAAGTAATTGATGGGAGAAATGATCACGAACTCAATCAAGATCTCATGGTTCTCTCATCCCGAGTCGTCGTGGTTCATGTTCTACTTAGTCAAAGAAGATAGTTGACTCAATCTAATTGAATATCCTTGTTAGAAACTTTGGGTTGCGTGTCTAAGGGACATTTGTAAATCTAGGCATGATATTTGTCTAAGGTCATAAATTTATGTTAACCTTAGCTAATCTAAGACTGTGTCAAAAAAATGTATACTTATAATATACAACTCAAAGGGTAGAAAGTTGTTCAAGAACATACAATGTATAATTGTGTTATTTAGAGGCAAACAATTATGTTAGAGGGCTTTGGTTGTAACCATTATTTTTTGTGGAGTCACTGGGCTACATCATGTAGACAAAGGACTCGAGCCACATTCTTGTGTGATATTTATTTGAGTTTGAATATAGTCAAACACTTGGTGTGACATTTATTTTTTATGAGCTGAAGTGAATAAAAAATTTCTCACCTTGATATACAGTTGAAGACAGTGACTAATTTGCTTTAAGCTTTTGAGTGATTTTACTTGAATATTTTAATCTATTTACTTTAAACTTTTAAGTGATTTTTTTTAAATTGAATGCTTTGATTTATTATTTTGAGAATTTGTTTTAAAAGCTTGATTTAAAGTTGACCCTTTCACTTGAGATTACCATCACAGGGATTTGTAGTTTTGAACCTTGCTAACTCTATCCCACTTACAGAGAATCGGGTTCATAACCTAAATCATTTGAGTTTATTCAAATATTCTTTTGTTATTTGGATATATTGAAATTGTTAGGCTTGTCGATTTCAGTCTTTAAAAGGAGTATCCGAATGAGACTTACATCCCAACCTTAAGGACAAAGAGTCCCGATTGAGAGTTTGTTTAATTTGATTACCTTGAATTTGATTTCTAAAATATGAGGCTTTTATTTTAAAATAACCATAGAAATGTTTAAAGAAATTTCATGTATTTTAAAGCAAGATTTATTTTTAGTGCAAGTTTAACTTGAATACGCACATCATTCTCAAACTGTTTAAATTTAAACACTTAACAACTTGGTGGATTATATGCAAGTGAATTAAAGTTGATTTTAACCTAGTCCATGCAACATTCTCAAAGAGCTTGTTAAAGCATTTAATACTTTAGTCGGAGCACATGCAAAAATTTTTAATACTAATTTTACTATAGTCCACATAGCATTCTCAAGATGAACGAGTATGATTGCCTAACCTGATCATCGGAGCCCATGTAAACTTCAAATTTCATATATTTGAATAACTTAAAAGAATTTTATAATCTCTAAGTAATTACACAAAGTTTAAATAATGAATTTGATATGAAATTTACATCAAGAGACACATGTAAGATTTTGAAATTATACATAGTTGACTCACTCATATAAATATTTTAAAATATTTAAAGCTCAAGTGTATCTAAATTATTACTCATATAAGTTTGAAACTACTTGTACACACTCCAAAGCATTGCGTTTGGATTAAAAAATAACCTTGAAGTTTGTATACCTTAAAATCATAAGAAATTAAAATGTTTTAAAAAATATTATATATTTGAATTACATCGTTTTATTTTGGGTTTTAAAAACAATTGTCTTCTGTTCCCTAGTAAGTGTATTGCGAATTTGATGATGAATGATGATTAAGTCTTTGTTTAGCATTTAAAATGACATTTATGTGCTTAATTAGCCACAATTTATACACTCAAGTAGACCACATAACAATTTATGTGCATTAGGTCAAGAAATTTAGTAAATTATTTTAGAGCATGATCATAGCTTATAATTTTAATTGAATTTGAAATCAAAGAGAAGCCCAATCACATTAATTGACGAGTTATTAAATTCTTCATAAATTTTTAAACTTAATTTTGAAAAGAGACCAACTAGTTGAAATCTTCATCAACTTTAACATCATTGAAAATTTGGATATTTGAAACAATTATATTTATTATTATTTGAAATTTATCCTTTTAATATTTTTAAAATACTATTCTTATCAACTTCTATCTTTATTAGGAGGATCGTTATACTTGTCAGTTGGATAATTTCGAAATTGTTAGACTTGGCGACTCCAGTTTGTTTTAGAAGTATCTGAATGAGACTTAACAACCCTACCTTATTGACAAAGTGTCTTGATTAGGAGTTTGTGTAATTTGGTTACATTGAATTTGATTTCTAAATTATGAGGATTATTTTTAAATAAAATTGCAAGTAGTTTAAAGCAAGAGTTATTTTGGGTGCAAGTCAAACTGTTGAAATTAAAATGCTTATCAATTTAGTGGATTACATGTTGGTGAATTAAATTTAATTTTGTGCTAGTCCGTGCAATATTCTCAAACTGTTTATTAAAGTATTTAACATTTTAGCCGGAGCACATGCGAGAGTTTTCATTGTTAACGTTATTATAGTCTACATCGCATTTTCAAGATTAACAAGTTTAATCGCTTAACCTGACTTACACAATTTTTAAACTTTCAATTTGATATGAAATTTACATCAAGAACATATAAGATTTTGAAATTACACATAGCTTGCTCACGCATAAATATTTTAAAATATTTAGAGCTTAAAGAATATCTAAATTATTACTCAAATAAGTTTGAAAGTACTTGCTAGGGTTTCGCCTGATGACTTCGTCTTCCTTCTCGCTCGACTCTGCTAGGGTTTCGCCTGATGGTGAACCCTAGCAACTGTTACGGCTTCGCTGCCTCTTCTCCGGTGTTTTCGCGCCTGGTTTCTATTTCGTCTCCCTGGGTCTCGCGATCCTTCCTGCCTCACGAGCTTTCCAGGCTTGGGAGTTCTCGGCTCTGCGGTGCAACTCTCTACGGCTTCCCGTCTCGCTCGTGGGTGCCTCTGCGGCTATCTTCCGGTCTCGCGAGTTCTACGGCTCCCGTCTCGCAAGCAGCTATTGTGGCTCCTTCCGGCTCTGCGGCTCCTCTGCAGTCCGACTCCCGGTGTTCTCCTTTTCAGCTTCTTCGGTCTATGCTTCCCGTCTCGGCTCTGCGACTCCTCTGCAGTGCGGCTCGCGGTGTTCTCGTTTTCAGGTTCTTTCAGCTTCTTCGGTCGAAGCCACTTTTCTCGTGTTTTCTTCTTAACGCCACACCTTTATTTTGAGGATAACTTCAGACAGATCGTCTGCAGCTGCCCTCACGGGTGTCCACGCCTCAAATACACTTAAATCATGTTCTTTCTCTCCTTTGCTTGAGTGGGAGGAGGACATCAAGAAACCTGCCAGGAAGGATGAGAAGTCTGCCTTTTTTTTTTACAGAAGCTGAAGGTATTCAACTTGCTTCCTCATGTCGTCTGAATTTAGTTGAGAAATTTCTATATGGTCATCCCAAAATGGAGTTTATTCGCAATGAATTTGAACTTATGCATCTTGTTGGGGAGTGGAAAATTGGACTATCGGATGAGAGACATATTCTTATTCAAATTAATAATGAAGAAGATTACACACGATTATTTGCTAGAAAGATAATCTGAATTGATAACAAAGCAATAAAGATTCTAAAATAGTCTGTGGATTTTGAGTCACAGACGGAACATCCAATCAAAGCAATGAAGATTCTAAAATAGTCTGTGGATTTTGAGCCACAGACGGAACATCCAATCAATCCAGTTTAGATTTGCCTCCTTGGTATGAAATTTCATTATTTTACTCAAAAAGTGTTGTACTCTATTGCCCCATTTGTTTCCTCAGCTTATGCGAAGCAACTCCAGACGGACATTCCTACTTTTAATCTTTCTCGTCCATCTGAAGCCAGAGTATTTGTTAAAAGAGACATTACTTTTTTCGCTTCTGAGGAAATTTGGTTGGGCACACAACATCATGGATATTGGTAGAAGGTAGAGAATATGTATATTCCTTTGTATTGTTCGAACTGTCATATGTTCGACCAGTCCAGTTCTCAATGCATCATTTACATCCCCACCTCAGACCAAAAAAAAACAAAGTGCTCTGCTAGAGGCAGTGATTCCAACTCTTCCTGATTAGCTCCAAGTTATTGGCACTATTGATCATCAAAAGGATACACTTGAAGAAGTCACTATTCCCACAAACAATATATCAACCATTCAGTCTCCACACATTACTGTAGCTCCCCCGTCTTTGGAACCTCCTATCGTGGAGGCGAGGGAGATTCTTCAGCTCCGCCTGCCCTAGAACCTATCACTGATATTAGAGGTAAAAATACCTCTGCTGCTTCACTACCGTCTCATCAGATCCAAAAAGATATCAATGCTACTCAGACTCAGGAGGATCATGATGTGCAACGTCCTACACTTGTCTGACCACCTTCGGACCAATTCATTGATCAATTGAGTCAATCATCGGATGAAGAATGACAAGTTTATACATCCAAGAGGAAGAAGAAGAATGGAGACATACTTAACCTCAGAAATCTGATTGATGATACTTTGGTTAATTTGGGTAATGGTACACAACTTATCAATTTGTTAGCTTGCTCCCTTCCGAGAACTAGAGACAGATGAAGAACTAAAGTGGGACATCCTTAGCACCATTGTGCCTGTTGGTGGATTTTTTATTTTTTATCTTTATGTATCTTTGCTTCTTTGAATTTTTGTGTGTTGTATTGTGTGAGTTGTGACTTCTTTTAGGTCATCTCATACAATCTATTTGTACATTTTCTTATTTAATATATTAGCATTTGGGCTTTAATATATATATATATGCTTCGCGTTCCAAGCTCCATTTATAGAGCATCCATTTCGACGGTGTAAGTCCCATATGGACTGGGGTTCAAATCCCCCTCAGGCGAGTTATCAGTTATATGGGGTCGGTACTCTGAGAGGTTAGGTACATGGGTCCAACCTAAACCTAATGGGTTACGAGCAAGGAGTGGTTGGCAGTTCCGCCCGTCAACCATCTTAATAAATATATATATAAATTCCTACAATTAAACACACGCACAATTCTCATGCATTTACATGTCTAACACCTCAACATTCAAATTTACATGCATACCACTAAATCTTTAACATTACATTAAAAAAAAATACTATCACTATCTTTCTAAAAGTGACATTCGTCTCATGCATGCATAGGTTTATGACACAAAGGTGTCATAATTATAACTATCAAACTTTGGGTGTTATGTAAATACAAAGAATTTTGTGGTATGCATGTAAATTTCCCAAAACAAAATCAAGACTCACATGTGCTTGAAAGCCATGCTAAAGAGAACAACAGGACAAAAGGCTAATTGATGCAAAGGATCAGAGAAAAACCATTAGATGATGATTTCAAAGAAAGTGAAGATGAGAAAACACAAAGTAGCAGAAAATAATATAAAAAAAGAAACAAATATATAATCCCAGCAATTTACTTGGTTTAAGCTTTCTAAACCCTTTTTTTTTTTGGCAAGACAGCCGGACAGAACAAAGCAAAGATTACCATCCTCATTTAGATTGACAAAAATCTGAAGCATTTCTAAAAAATAAAGGAAAAAAAGCTGAAATGAATTTTCAATTTACTGCACATAGAGAGTGGGGAATGAACTCACCTTTATTTTGATTATGTAATACAAGAAAAATTGTAACTTTTCATTCTACACAACTTACAGAAGAAAAAGAGAAATAAACATAAAGCACTCTATGGCAGTTTACTCTTACAGTTGAAATATTCTGAATACTTCAACAACTCTATGATTGCAGCAAAAAAGAAAAAAACCAATGGTGAAATCTAGGGTTATTATCATTTACATCATCAGAGGTTTAGCCAACTTCAATATAGCTAACTAAGGTATAGCTCCTTAAAGTTTGGCAACATATCAAATATCTCCCGTATGTTATCTTTTCCATCCAATTTTCAGTCTTTTAATATTAAAATTGAACAAGGTATTTGATATTTTATCAAATAAAAGACATTAAACCTAAACGAAGTAATGCACAAAAAAGAAAAAAAAAATCTAAAATGCATGAGAACAATAGGAGATGAATAAAAAACACTACTACCAAACTAAAGCATGAAAAATACACAATTATGCACAAAAGCAAAGCCGAAATCATGAAACCAACCTCGGAAAGCGCAAATGAGTCATTATATAATCAACCAATGGAAGTTGAATGGAAAAGGTGCCACAAGATGATCATTTGATATTTTGCCAAAACTTGGGGACCTATATGTTATATAGCTATTTTGAAGGGAGGTAAATGTGAATTACCAATGAAAGCTACAGAGAACAAGGATTCCTATTTCCCTCACCAGCATTCCAAATTCAACCATGGCTACTTTGATCTTTACGCTAAAAGACCTAGCAATCTGCTAATTACGATATAAAGCATTCCACTCATCCCTAGGTCATCTTGCATTACTGCGAATTAGAGGTCAACACAAAGATAGGAAAGGATACTAGAAGCTCTTCTTTTGGTTCTCTCACTTACCTTCCCCTTCTCTACAAGAAGCTTCTTTAAGCCAGGGCAGCCGGAAATGATTGTTGCGATGCCCGAAGATGTTACAGATGGGCAATAAACCATGTGGCAGGCCTCAAGTTTAGTGCATCCTTTCACCAAGTGCGCTAAGCCCACGTCAGTTATCTGCCGACAGTGAGATAACACAATCTCTTTCAGAAATGGGCATCCTTCACCGAGCTCAGCCAGTGCGATGTCCTTCAAGTTCTGTAGAAAAGACGATGCATGATGAATTCTAGGTTAATCAAACAATCCACACAAAATTAACAAGGGAACAACTGATCATTTGTAGGAAAAAAAAACAAATTTTAGAAACGAGTAATGTGTCAGTCGTTTGACTATTTACATAGGGTCATTTTAGTCCTAAAGCTAAAATTAGTCGTCGGGACTCTTTAAATTCAGACTGAACTAATCCTTTAAGGGAACTATTTCAGTCCTTATTTGAAGAGTCTGTGGACTAAATTGACATTTTTACACATTCTCAGACTAAAATGACCCTCATGCATAAAGTTAGGGGACTATTTTGACACTTTCCTCTTTTAAATATCCATGCTTATTGCTAATTATATTCAACCAAATTTTGGAATATAAAAATGTTATGTTTTCCTAAATATGCTTTCCGTTTACAAACTATCGAAAGAAAATAATTAGAAGGTTGAAACAAATATTATCTAGTTTTAGAGACTAAAATTAGGCCATCAACAAAGTATATCCCTACAAGGACTTGAGAGTACCAACTTTCTCTAAAACGTTTAGCAATAATGATTCTAAAAAAGGTATAACAATTTGATAATGAAATATTCCACAAAATTGAGTATGATGATACAAAAGGTAATAGGACCATCTGGTTCTTTGTATTACTAAATCAAATTTATGAGTTTCTATTAACTGTGACGACGGGCATGGTGCATATTGGAAATAATGTGGTATGTTTGTAAAATTTATCCATACATACAAAACTACAACGACAACGACAAGACTTTAATAAATTGTTAACTTTCATTGTCAAAGCAGGATGGAAAACGTCAAAGCAGGATGGAAAACGAGGAAAACCTGGAGAACACTTATATCGAGAAATATGAGCCCCGGGCAACCCCTAGCAACAGCTGTAATCCCAGCATTTGTAATTTGATGGCATCCGCTTACGTTTAAATTTTGGAGGGGGCAACCCTGGCTAATGGCAATAAGAGCCTTGTCACCAACCCTACAGAATCAAGAGAAGGTAGTTTGAAACCATGAGAAGTTAGGAAAATTGAACCTACTTTAATCTCATTCAGAAAAAGATGGTTACGCAAGACATCATTGTACAAGAGAGAAAATATATGAAACACAAATTTTCGTGAATTTAAAAAGGAGCACTGAATTTTAGTGAAATACTAACAAAGAAGCACACATTTGACTTAACGAGCAAGTCCAATAATACATAATCATGTCTTCTGGTCATCGCTTATGCAGTGAAACTAAATTTGTCAACATGGGCAATGACCATTGTGAGATGTAAAGTCCTTATTGATCAAATAGCATCTACTTGGATGAATAGAACTAGATTTCGACGTGATTACACAGGTTTCTTAGTAAAATTTCTGAGTAAAGAAAATTTTTGCCAAATAATTGTGCCTTGTTAATAGCTCTCTGTGATATTATGCCTATTCATTAAATCTAAATATGCCGTGTCGCAAAGCAAGGTTGACCAGTACGAATGGCACATAAAGGAGTCAATCATAAAATCCATAGCAACATATGTTGGATGAAATTGCCAAAAGGACCATCTGTATCTAACTGTATTTTACTAACAATATTAGCCAATATGTATTACGCACTCACAATAGTAGTATGTCAACATCACTTAAACTTGGGACAGTTTGCTGAGTTTCACTGCACTAACATGAAGTACAACTTGAAATATTTCATTTTGGGCTAAATTAAAAAGCCTATAAATCTAAGCAAGGTTTTCTGAATAAAAATTGGAACTTTTTGTCCATACAATGAAACGGTCAACCTAGCTCCATCCTAGCACAAAACCATCAAACAGTTCCAATAAATTCTAACACACCCTTCTTTAAGACTATTTCCTCAGTTAGCAAACATTTTGGACATTCTTTAAAATGATTAAATTACTTCAAGTTCAGTCTAAAATGATACAAAAATAACCATTAATTTGGAGCAATTGATTAAAATTGCATTGGTTTCCACCTTCAAAAAATACAAATAACATGTCCACAAGAGTCAAAAGTTGTCTATTAAAGTTAAACAAATAAATAAAAAAGAAGTTATTTGGTAGCACCTGACTCAGCTTTTAATAACACTAGCTCTATCCTCACATGCTCATAGCATGTTTCATTTGCTGTGGATTCATGTGGACATTAGAAGAAAAGAAATCTCAAATCTTTTATGTTAGGTTCATTAATAACAAGCATTTGTTTTCATTTTTGTTATCGGTTTAGCCATGCTTTTCCCTGGTTTAATAGATCTTCTGTTTCCATATTAAACCACCTTGACAACTCACTTTGATTTACCATTTTTATGGCCTTTCTGCACCCATGTTTGTTGATTGAAATTTTCCACTTAACATAAGTTGAGCTTTGTTTTGGTATTGATGCTGAATTTTATATGCATATTTCTTAATTGAGTGATTTAATGTCACACGATAATAATTAGTTGAATATTCGTCTAAATTAAGCTACATAAGATTAGCTTCTTGGATACCAATCACAATGAGGCAAACTTCAAATAGAATTGGACAAATTTTCAAAGGTTTTAAATCTTTCATAAAGTTTGACAAAATTTTACTTTATTTCTAATATTTTTTATTAGAATAATTGCAACAAATATAAGAATAATCTTATCCTAGTTTTAGGTGATAAGGATAAGGATAATCACATCCTTATCTTACGATTATTTTTCTTTATAAATAGAATTTCTTGTATCGATATTTCTTTATTATTGGTTAGTGATTATTGATGAGACCAATAATGAGTGTTATTCTCTCTTGATCCAAGTTGTGTATGCAAATTACTCCAAGTTACCCATACAAAGTTTCATTTCACCGTCTTCTCTTCCTCTTATCTTCAAAACTTTGCAAGCCTTCTTGCAACAATTTGATTTACAACAATTTGGTTAATATCATCCTATTTTGCCTCAAAAAGTTTATCAATTTCCTACAAATTTTTTGTTGTGCATCCCCCATTAACTCTTTTGCATAGCACTTTTCATTAACTTTCCGTATAAACTCAAACTTCAGAAATTATCCTAATCTCACAAACCCTCACACATACAATACTGCAAAATCTTGTGTAACCTAGCATTGAAATACCAATAAAACAAAATCCTAACAATATTTATTTCTCCTTAACTAGATCTTTGTGATTTCATGAACTAAGCCCATCCACACTCGGTTGACCGATGGAACTAATGTCAAATACTCTCATATCTCAATCTTCTTTTGATTACTAGAATCCAACATCACATCATTGTGACCCTTTCCTTCCTAGAAATAGCACTCACCATAATATACATCATATTGTGCTGAACCACTACTATCATTGATCTTCATAACATCTCAAAGCAACCTCTTCTTCATACTTAGATCTCTTGCATGCTTTGCTCTTTTAGTCTTAAACTCCATTGATCTCTATCCTATGTAACACCAACATTGACCTTATCCCATTGATTCACCCCAAAAGCAACACCACTAGTGGCTTACACCATTCTCCAAATGCCTCACTACCACAAAAAGCATCCGTGAAACTCTAATAATAGGATGCTAATTATCAAAGCGCAATGCGATGCACAAAACTCTATTTCTTTTTCAAAACGCAAAACATAGAGCGAAGCATCACTTTTATTAATTAAAGCGCTAATAGGTTATATAAATGTATTAATGTATTAATATATTCATTAACAATAATAAATATAAAATATGACTTGAAAGTTGATATAAAATAGAAAATCATGTGGTGCAATACATAACTTGAAGGCAAACATTGAGGGTGAATTTGCAAATTAAAATTTAGAATAATTTCTAATGGTTTGTTGCAATAATTAAGAACTTAAAAATTGCAAAAAAAAATCTTATTACTCTAGACATAAGTTTAAAATTTAAAGCATAAATAAACTAAAAAAGCCTGAAGTTTCATAAAACAAGCTAAATTAATTCAGCAGCCCTTTATTCTCTCGTTACACTGTGAATCAGACTTACCATTTTGCTTCAACGATTCGAAGAGCGCTTCAGTGCAGTGAAGCGACCATCCAGTGCTTTGCTTCGCTTTGCACGTGAAGCGCGCTTTTAAAAACACTGATGGTATTAAGCTTTTGATTTTGTGTTGCTGATCTTTCCAGGATTTCATAAAAGTTTCAACCACTAACCACTTAACCAAGCTTTTTGCAAAAGTTCGTCATAGTTTTAGGTCACCAAGCTTTTATTACACGTTCTTAAAGATAACAAAATTGCCAATGTTGCCATCAAATTCCTCTTAAACGATCGAAAGAAGTTCCTCAAAATAGAAGAAACCCTCAAACTTTAGAAAAACACCAAAATTCCTAATAATAGCCACCAAATAAAGGATGTTGGCACATTATGAATATAACCTCCATCATTCTCATGTTCAAGCTCGAGAAGACATCCTGTGGAGGTCGATCTAATCCGTTTGGACCTCTTAATTCATACAAAGTAGTAGATGAGTGCTAGTAACTCATAAATACTCTCGAATTCTAATTCTTCTTCAATAAAAGTTTTGCCAACATAAATATTTTCATAAGGACCATCATCATAATAGGAAGGATAATAAAATTCTGGTACATATTGTTAAAATTAGAAGTTTTGTAAGATTTATTGGGCTAAGGGAACATGTGGAACCTCTGTAGATTTCATAGGATTAAAGAAAACAAATCCTTTTTGAAGGTGTATATGTAAGAGTATCATTAAAAGATTTTGTAAAGGATAGCTTATGGAACCTTTGATGGTAAGAAGGAGATGGATCTTCTTATCCATAAAAATATAAGAGGATAGTTTATGTTATCTAGCATGATTGTTATCAACCTAATAATTTAATGTTATGACAAATATTTTCGTATGAGAATAATAATCAGAATCATCACCATTTTTGTATGACTATTGTGCATCAAGTTGAGTAGGAGATAATGTAAAAGCTTATATCTTATAGAGTACTTGAGCTTGAGAATATTATTGATGTTGTACATTAAAAATTGTTTAATTATTCAGCCAAATATACCCACAAAAGACTAGTTTCTTATAAGCTAATCAGAAAAATTCGAAGTAGACAATAAGGGAACTACACAAGATGCGTTATCAAAAGTTTTTAGAACCCTCGCTAATTTATGTTGATTTATTTTGTTAGACTAAATGGAATAGTAATAAGAATTATTACATCCTTGTTTTAGGTGATACAGATATAAATAATCTCGTCCATATCTTATGATTGTGTCTTTCAAAAAAGACTGTTTTATGGACATTTCATTGCTATTAATGAATGAATTATTGATGAGATCATTTATGAGTGCTCTTCACTTTTGATCCAAAATTGTATATACAAGTCTTTACATCAATTTATGTTTCCCTTCATCTTCTTCTACTCTCTTCATTTCAAAGATTTCACAATCCTTCTTACTGCAACCTCTTTACATCAATTTATGTTAGTTATGTTTGCCAGCTTGTGTTAGACAATGCAGGCATTTCACAATCAACATCTGTCTTTTGTACTGATCCTTCTTAAATGGATGCACCAAATCTCTTTGAAATATTCATAATTGTAATTTTCTTTCTTGTAATATTTTATTGATTTCAAAAGTTAAGGTGTATATATATTGCTAGGAAAGTACAAATGAATTATTTTCGCAAAAAAAAAAAAAAAAAAAAAAAAAAAACTTCATGCACTTTGCCTGTCAAAAACACTGTTGTTTGTATGCATAAATGCACACGTTCACAATTACATAAATATTGTGCAAAAACTCAATAATATAAAGCAAAAAAAATAATAGAAAACAAGTAAAATTTTCAAAATAGATCATTCAGAAGATTACGAAGATGTGTATAATGAATAAAAACAGATATAGGTTGGTAGAGGATGTTCACCTATCACAAAAACGAAGGCTTAAGTCCGTCAAAGATATGCAATTTTCACCAACAGAGATAACACCCTGATCTCCAACCTTGAAAAAAATAGAAAATGAGGTCATCATCAAGGGTTCAAACTTAACAGAAAACATGTCGGCTGGTTTCAGAAGAGGACAGAAGGGTTCAAACTTAACACCCTGATGTCTTTATCTTTCTTGTTTCAATCATTATTTAACGTAGAAGAGGATATTCTTTCAGCTTTAGAACATATCATATATTTGGGACTAGATTAAATGACCTTAATATAAAGTGACACGGGATATGATATCCTGCTATCCCAAAACAAGGACAGAGGGACTTGATGGATGAATGGATTTGACCCAATTAGACTGAACAAGATATTAAAACATATATTTTTTTATAATTTAAATTGTTATAATGATTAAATAAATGCATGAAACACCAAATTAATTATGCAAGCAAATACTTAATTTGATGAATTAATTGAGACATTTAGCATGTATAATTAAGCCTAAGGATTGAAGTTTATTTAAACTCTAAGAAATTAACAAAGCCTGGTTTTTGTGATTAGGTCTAAATAAACATAGTTCACCCTTGATTAAATAGGCAAATTTAATCAGGTAAGCATTCATATCTTGGGCTTAATGGTACAAACTTTTCAAAACCATCTTTCACACTAAATGTAAAAAGGCGGAAAACGAGACACCAATAAATTGATTTAACTGCATCATAAAACAGTCAATCGAGGAAGATTTTACAACAGTAAATTTTAAAAAAATAACATATTCAGGAATCTATATCCTTATTTTTGCCTAAATCAACTTATTTAATCATCTCAATGACTTCATGTTATAGAGTTCCACCACCTAAAAGTAAACACTGATACTTTTAACTTTAAAAGAATAATTACCTGATAGCAACGGCGAATATGAAGTTTCTTTAAATTTCTGCAGCCTTTAGCTATGCTACAAAGAGCGTCATCATCTATATTTGAACAATCCACCAAGTCAAGGGCCTGCAAATGTAAGCAGCCTTTGCTAATCTCGTGAAGAGCACTATTCCTGATCCTTGGACAGTACAGCAACGCCAAGTCCATAAGTTCCCTGTTAGTCGCGACACAAAATTGCAGCATTTTAATTTTATTGTTTAATTGAACAGTAAAAACTTGCAAAAATAAAAAAGGCTATACTTAATGATGTATTTCCATATACGAAATATTTTTTTGATTAAAGGGATGGTTGGTCTTCATTGGAATTTAGACGGATTAATAAGATTTTGGGAACATTTTGGTGAATCAGAAAAGATGTAAATATAATTTTAATCAAATAATGTGTCAATCTATTTATTGGAGCTCCCAATTCATATGGTTGAGAGCTGAAGAGGGTGATAAGAGGTAGGAGAGAGGGATAACAAGTCCTCTTTTAAGTTTCAATTAATTCCTTATAAGCAAGAACATACCTTCAAAATGACGATTTAGCAAGTACGGACACATTCAAATACACATAAAAATAAGATAAATACAGATACATATAGTTAGAGAGCCACTAATATAGCAGAAATCAACAAAATGTACATACGGGCAAGATTTTCCAATGTTCTCCACACCAAATGTTTCAATATGGTGGCAGCCATTGATTTCCAAGCGTTTTAACTTGGGACAGCCACGGGCAACAGATTCAAGACTTTTATCACTGATGTAATAGCAGTCGCTAAGAGTAAGATCTCTCAAGTTCTTGCAGCCATTGCCAACTGCAGAAAGGCCTCTGGAGAATCCAAAACCATAGCAGTTATTAGCAATATAAGAATATAGGTAACATCTATTGAAAATAGAAAAATCCATTGACTGCTCACTAAACTACTGAATAAAAGTATGACGAGCAATCAAAATAAGAAAAAAAATATAATGACACCGGTTGCTAGTGTGAGAAATGGTTCAAGAAATTTCACAAGAACAGAAATAAGGTAAAGATAAGTAAACTACAGGCTAAATACATATTTAAGCGAAACTGGCAAATCAAATGCTTTTAAACTGAAGATAAAGATACCTTAGAAATGGAGAAATGGATAATGTAATAAGAAAAACTTATTAAAAGTATGTTATAGCTTGTTATTATAGAAATGTTGGACTTTCTGGAATACACCTCCTGTTGGACATCTAGCTTTTTTTTTTCCCAGAATTCTCATGTCCATAAAGATGCAACAAGAACTTAAAAAAAAGATAAAAATAAGAAATTAAATTGGCTAATTTGTAGGATTACTACAGGCTGAGAATCGGTTGCCCGTGCCCTTTGGCATCCTATTTTTTGCACTCCAACAAAGGAAATTTGGCCCCTTCTGCTGTCAAGCAACCACCAGCTACTAGAATCTACTATCGCCCACTTATGGAAAGTCATCAAAGATTTTTTTTTAAAGTTACGGCATCAAATATGGCAGAATCCTAGACTTCCCTAAAAACAGCTCCCCACTCAATATCTCCAAAACAGGGAACTCCTTCTCAAACACAACATAACAATGAAAAACAAAAAACTGAAATTTACTTGCAAGAAAAGGAATAATATAGGCCGATCACCGATTCAAGGCCACATTCACCCTTTCTATAAAATCCACATTCACCTTTTCTATAAAATTGCCCAACTTAACAAGAATGTAAAAAAATTATTGATTAAAAAGTACTAATATGACCTGCTAGACTAATTGCAATTAATAACTATCACGTGCCAACAAATAAATAACTCTTATTGAAACAATACCAAGATGTGTTTCCAATCAAGAGTAGCATATTAAGTGGGCCAAAGAATTTTTATGCTTCCAATACAATTTGAAGCACAAATTGGTTGCCCAAAATAGAATCATTGATGCCCTTAGCTGATGACATCCTCTCCTAATATTTTTCAGTCAAAGTTGGTTATATTTAAGATGATAAAAAAAAAAACTAATCTAAACGATGGAGATTCTACAAGAAGTTGAGAAAATGCCAAGATGATTATTAATTATATTGAGGAGATTTTTTACAGGATTGATTTGTCAAGAGATCTCATTAAATCCGCAATCTTTAGTAATGCATGTCTTTTACCCTACTTTGTGCAAAAAATATTTAAAACATTGAGGACAAATATCCTTCAATCCTGAGAAAAAGTCAATTATTAATTGCAATTACTTTAAATTATCTTCTTTACAAATATCTTTTTCTATGCAGGGATCCCGCGATCCTATTTCACGAAATTCCACGATACTACAAAATTTGCATGATTCCACGTGATCGTGGAACATCCCGTGATCGCGGGACAATGATTTTCACCAGGAATTCCTACTCTTCTTAATTTCAGTCGTATTTTTTTTCCTTTTTATAGCTTTTCATATTCAGTTATTTCTATATTGGCTTATTTATGAAGATGATATTTTATATGTTTATTTTTATGTTTTGAGGAAATTTTGTTTGGGTTCTGAGTAATTAGCATATTGTAATCTTTGATTTTCAACCTTAAGAAGTGTTGTATCATATTCCTTTTGCAAGTAGTGTGTCTATAATTTGTGCAGGAAAAAGTGGTGAACCTCCTCAACATCTGTACCACACCATTTTGTGGTTCTTCGTGTTGTCTTCAGCCAGGACAGCGACATGTCATCCTCTATCTCCCTCCAAATATCGTCGATTGCACATATTTTTATTCCTTTACTATTTCTCCACTACTTCCCGTGAAATCCACTTCCCAAACACATTCTAAAAGCCCTATAATGGTGTCATTTAGTATTTGAGCCCGACAAACCCTAAATTCTAATATATATATATATATATTCATCCTAAAAAAGAAATTTTTCTAGGAACAATATAATTTACTTGAAATATTTGCGTCTCTAGCAGAAAACTATATAATCATAGTCAAACCATTCCTACTGAAATTCTAAGCGCCAACCCTAAATTTTTAAAAACCAACCTTCCTTCCTCATTAAAATTACACCCTGATAACTACCACCAAGATTTTAGCCCCCGATTAACCTTGATTTGAAATCCTACATCCGTCAAAAACTTGATCGAAAAAAACGGACGTCATGCCGTTAAGAAAAAACTCGGTGTCCATAAACTTATTATGAAGTATATGCAACGGAAAAACCGACAACAGTAATAGAGGCTTGTCGCCTAGGAGACAATCCGTGAGGTCATACATAACCACAATGATGATTTGTCAGACCAAGGGGAGGAAGTGAATCATTTCAAACAAAAATTTTCAATGACAGAAATAATATTTCGACGATTTGGCATAGATTACATAAGAAAAGTCGAAATCTTAGAGTAAACACAGATTTACCAGATTTTGACAGCCGCATAAATTTAGACGAATTTATTGAATGGCTCTAAACAGTGAAATGAATTTTTAGTACAAAAAAGTTGCCAATGACAAGAGAGCTAAATTGATAGCTATCAAGCTCAAGAAGAATGCTTCCTTGTGGTGGGAGAACCTGAAACGTACTCAACATTGAAAAGAAAAGAGTAAGATCACCACCTAGTTTAAGATGACAAGAAAAATGCAGCATAAATATCTTCTTTTGCATTGCCGATAATATATGTTTATAAAACTCCACCACCTACTTCAGAGATATTCTTTTGTGGAAGAGTACACAATTGAATTTAATCAACTCACATTGAAATGTGAGTTAATGAACCAAATGAGTACATAATGAGCACCCAAAATTTGAGAACCAGGTAAAATTCAACAAATTTTAAAAGTACCTCAAATTTTACACCCCTCAAAATTCAACTGAATTATTTTTATAAAATTTACGCATGAAATCAATCAATTCAATATAAAACACTATATATTAATTATGAAAGGGTTGGGAGATATAAAATTGTAAAGATATACATATAATTGCCTTAATTAAATCTAAATTATTTTTCTAATCCCTCCCCAATAACTGAATTACTATAGCCAGCCGACTCCTACGCACGCTTAATTGCACAAGCAAGATCTCGATTTAATCGAGCGGCTGAGATGAGAGGTGGGATCACGATAAAGTGCCGCATTCCCATTCCTTTTCCCGACCAAATTCGCTCGCTTGGGGGATTTCTGCCAGTCTGAAGGAGCAAGGATCGCAACACTGTTGTTGCGCAATCCATGCGACCTAGAGGGCCACAAACTTTGATTCAGGGGTCTGGAAGGAAATCAAAAGGTATGAAACTCATTTTAGCAATATTTTAGACATTCCTTTTCTTCCTTAAACTTTTGTTTTGTCATTTGCCTCCATTTTCTGCAATTTTTTGTTTCTAGTAGCCATAGAAGGCGTCGAACTTAGTTTGCAAAGGTCTTTAGCATGAAATCAGCGAAGGGGAAGGGATGATTGAGGTGTTGGGAAGCAGATGGGAGAAGTTTAGGCAGATTAGAGAAATGTTGAATTATGCCAAGAAGCCCGTTTGAGATATGTGTTGACATTTAATGCACATTAACACGAGCGCTAAAACAACGCCTAGGAACGGGCTGAGGACGCCCCGAAGCGGGGTGCTTCATTTCCGCAGGACCAAAAATTTCACAAAACTTCGTGGGAGCAAATGTGGGGTGGGATTGTGATCCCTTGCAAAGGTAGGAGGAAGCGCGAAGGGGGGAAACCAAGGCGAGAGGCAGGTTCGCAAACTTTCGCGATCTGAGCAGAAGCTTAGCTGTGCAGCAGGAGTAGAATATGTTGCGGCGAAGCCAATGCGAATCCATCGTGTCCTTGGTTTGTAAGATTCGTCGAACCATGAGTGTTTATCCTTCAACTGGCGAAGCTGATACTCCTCACCTTGTTCCTCGGCTTTCTCTTCATTGCTATTTTTTTTTCTATGGTGCCTTGATCTAAGATATGATTACCTTGCTCGTGGGGCACGTAGCCGTGGCATCGGTAGCACTTCTTAGTCGACACCGTGTTGGAGTTGCATTACCTTGCTCGTGGGGCACGTAGCCGTGGCATCGATAGCACTTCTTAGTCGACACCGTGTTGGAGGAGTTGTCCTTCTCCTATTTTTTTTCCTGCTTTGTTCTGTAGTGGCATTCCCTTGTCCGGGCTTGCTTGTGTCTCCCGAGATGCCTCGGTCGATCGTGATAATTGTTAGTGACAATCATCCTAAAAGTTATTGCTTGAAAGATGATTGTTGTCGGTGAGCTTCTATAGTCTTTCTACCTTCAAGGCTAATGTTTGGACATCCCCTAGCATCCAATATGGTTGCAACTATACCACATTGTTGATGGCGGGCTTCAGACCCCCCAAGATATCTGGTTAATCGAATGTTCCTTTGGCTCTATCAGTTCGCATTTCATCTACAAGTGGTCGAATTGGGCAGTGAACTCTTCAACTGAAAGATCTCTCTATTGCAAGTTGTGGAGCCTTAGAAACATATCCCAACGATAGTAAAGTTGAAGGTACTTTTTCTGCATTATTTTCTTTATCTTCTCCCACCTAGATACCTTTTCACTGTCTTCCTTCTTCCACTATCTCTGCACATTTTTTCACCATAGGGAAGCACTCTTCTTCAGCTTAATAACGACCAGCTTGACCCGTTTGTCTTCTGGTACATCTTTATATTCGAAGATCTATTTAACGGATTGTAGCTAGTCGATAAACTCATTGGGATCCATACCTCCTTCCAATTCTGGAAGGTCCATCTTGATGTCAAAATTTCGTTAACCTTCATAAAAAGCCTCTTCTCTCGGCCTCCTTTGATATTAGATATCGAAACAGCATCATCAATATTCCTTGTCACTGTGATCTTCCCTGTGGAATGGATTCATCTCCTTGTCCCTATCTTCTATTTGACTCTCTCTATCGCGGATGAAGTTAACCTCTTCAAGATTTACATCATCTAGCTCTGTCAGTCTTTGTTGTAGACGATTGATTTCTAACTGAATATCTTCCCGAGTCAAGTCCGATGTACCTCTTCGTGGTAGCATGGTTAGGGTTGGGAATCGAAAGAAAATTTTGGGTGAAGATGAATCGAGTAGAAGCGAATGTTAGGAAACCCTAGGATAGAACTAGAGGATGAGCTAACTCTGATACTAAATGATACCGGAAGTGATGGGAAAAATATTGAAAGCACAAAAAGTAAATTTTCATTAATATTAAAATAGAGTTACAACATGACTCGAACAAAAACAACACAAACACAAAAAGACACAAGCAAACACTCTTAAATGTATTCCAATGGGTTGTGGAGATCAACGAGGCGGGTTGGAATGGCTGGCGGAGATGGTGATACAGAGCTGTAGGGATAGCAAGTGGGAAGGGTTGTAGATGGTCTACAGTGGTAGTGTGGTAGTTAGGGAGAAGCTTGTAGTGGCTGGGAACCAAGGAGAGTGAAAGAGACGGGTTGGGAAAGATGAAAGGGGAGGATACAATCACCACCTCGGAGGGGATACAGCCAGAACATCACCACCTCCTTAGATACAACCCACAAGGGGAAGGAGACTCCACATAGGAGATCTGAAACGAAACACACTTAGAACTTGTTCCGCATACACACCGGGGACAACTAGTTATAGCCTACGAGTTCTACATTGAATGAGAGTGGGGAAGTAAGGAGAATCCAGAAGAAAAGCTTTTCCTAGAAGAAAACAAGTGTGGAAGGAGCATGAAGTAGCCCTGGATCGTGAAGATTCACGATCAGCCCTGTTCCTGCGCGCGGGATCGTGATCCTTCTCTCGTTGTTCTGCAATCCCGCACCGACCCGTCCCGCTTCTCGCGAATTTGCATGATTCTGGCATTGCACGAAGCTTCACGGTTTCGCATGGTGCAGCGAGACTTCGACCCCGCTGTTTCGAGGTGTCTGGCTTGGGGCGCTGCTCTGTGCCCTCTTTCGAGCACTGTTCTACTGCAGATTTCAGGCATTGTTCTGCGCCCCCGTCATGATGCTTTGCCAAAAAATACCTGGTTGCTGAAGCACAAGCTAACTGAGTGCAATGAATGTCCTTGGAGCCGCGCACAACCAGAAGATAAAGTGCACATTAGCACTAGCTGCAAGGTCATTGTCGAGGTCCTGAAAATCCTGAAGCGTTGAGGATTTACTCTACCTTTGTTAAACAATTGGGAAGAAGCTCATAATTTCTTATGTTTGGCTAACCACTCAAAAGCTACTCTAATTTGCATATATTGTAGCGTAATTCACCAGTGTTGGTGGGCCAGAAACATGGAAGGCCGTTTGGAACTCGAACTATCATTGCAGCGACAATTCTTGAAACTTTCATGCACACCATTTTCCAATTCGGGAGCATGGGGACACTGCTAAATCTTCTGGATCGTCTTCTTTTCTTGGCGTCTCCCCTTCTAGTTGGTTGAAAGTGAACATTGACAGACCCTTCTTCAAGCATATTTGGCAGGACTTGGTGTGATAATTAGAGATGAAACAGGTAAATGTATTGCAGCAGCTGAAAAAATATGGGAGCATTGGGACAGTTCTCGGATTGAGCTAGAGGTTATTTTTACCATAAAGAGCCTGAAATCTTGAATGCTTGAAATGAAGGGAATTATTGTGGAATGAGATAACTACAACTTTATTAACTTCCTCAGCCAGTGCATGGACAGGCGTACGTGGAGCATTCAGCCTGAATTCAGTCCTGACTTAGCTTTTCTTACTATGTTTAGACAAGTTTGGTTACACTATGCACCTAAGGCCTGTAACCAGGCTGCTCATTTTTGTGTCCAGCATGCCTTGTAGGATAATTTTATGTTTCCTCGGGTGGAGAATTCTTTTACTCTCCACGCCATTATAGAGATGATAGTTTTTCTTTTATCAATACCCAAGGGGCATAGTTTTCTACATTCTTTTATAACATTTTTGTTTTAGAATGCAAAATGTAATATTCCAAAAAAAAAAAAAAAAAGGATTCATGCAAAAAATCACTAGCACTCTTGTTATTTTAGATGGATAACTATAGAAATAGAAAAACACGGTGAACACCCTGAGGTCGACAGTTTATCTACAGATATTCCATATAAAAATATAACAAAATGAAAAAAAATTAAACTAAGAATGCAGAATAATACCTGTCTGTAAATCTTTGGAAACTATACAAAGCCAGCAATTCTAATGATGAACAAAAAGAACCAAAAGCTTCCAAAGCTTCGTCAGTAATGTTAATACACTGCAACTTTAAACCCTTCAAAGCCCTGCAACCCTGGGCAACTGATATTAACCCCTTATTCATTACTAATTCTGAGTCCAGAGACAAAGTTTCAAGGCTGGAGCAGTAGATTGATATAGCTTCCAAGGTGACATCAGTAATCCAAGCACAAGCTGCGATACCCAGAGACTTCAATGATCTCCCACAATATTTGGCCAAACCAACCAAGCCTGTGTCAGTTAAACCTTCACAAAATCGCAAATTCAAATCCTGAAGTTTACAATATTGCCCAATTGAAATAAGACCTTGATCTCCAATGTAGCAACCCTGAGAAATCAAACGTCGTATACATCAAGCAATCCAAGAGAATAAATGTGTCTTCTCAATTTGAAGAAAGTTAACTAAATAGGATAAGCATAGTTAAACAAAAATATTCAATGATATATTCAATTCAGAACTACTTCAACTCCATAGCAGCACTAAAAAGAAACTAGTAAATCATTTTATAACTGTGTTTTTCCTACAAATCTATGGCCACCGAATCATTAATCAAAAACAGTGATAAAAGTTATTTATACATATTTCATTAGTCTATTGTTTAACATGAGATAACCAGTCTGCCGGTCTTAAAACAGAACCATTCTAAAACAACATCACCTGCACAGTTTATCCACGCTTTTAAATTCTCCTGCTTCACAAAGTTCTTTTCCTCGCAGAAAGAACAAATTCATTTCCGTCTGGATATCATGGGAATGTATTCTTCTCCCCGTGAATGACTATTTATGTATATTAGAATTAATTAAGTCAAAAACAGCGGTCGGACGGTATTAATATTTAATTTACTTTCCACAAATTTTTAGAACTTTTAATACATAAAAGAAGCTATAAAATACACTACACAAATCAAAACATACAAAAATAACAACATGGTCTGTAGACAACATCTCAAATCAGCATATAACAGTATATCACTACTCAGAAGAAAACAATACAAAGAAACTAAAATCTTAATACCTATTAAAACATCCAAAAATAATAACATAGTTTGTAGAGAACATTTCAAACTAGCATATAACAATATATCATTAGTCAGAAGAAGAAAAGTACAAAGAAACTACAATCATAATTCCTTTCAGCAGCAGTCCTCCAGTAAACTAAATCACTCTTGTCAGACATCAATCTATAGTATTTTCCAAAAGAAACAATTAAATTCAATAAGTTTTCTTGACTTACTGAGCAATTATAATCTTATTATACATTAAATTAACATGTGAAAGCTATGTATGAATGACCAAAAGAGATGCTGTTATTAATTTATCGAACTATACACTTTAAATTTTTTAACTTAAATTAACTCTTCCTGTTTCAATTTAAGTATTTATTTTTTTA